AGGAAACAATAACTCAAAGCTCATGAAAAGGTTGAAATCACCAACAAACTATGTAGCCTCATCTGACATTTACACTAGCGGGAAGGGCTCCATATTAAACCTTCAGTCAATGCAGAAGGTAAGTACAAGTGCTGATCCTGGGAAGCCATAAAACAACTGCGTCCGCGTTCTGGCAGGCAGACAGGCGAATTTTAGGAGGTTGGGAGGGAAGGGGAGCGGGCGAGCGAGCGACTGGGTGGAGCAGAGTGCCGACTCGAACAAGAAAATGTCGAAACAATAAACCACCAGCCAGGTGAATTATGAAATTAGATAAATGTCATTTTCAAAATTAAATAATGATGCCAAACACAGTGAAATGTCAAATTTTAGGAAAGTGCCCGGAATGACTAAACCCTGTTAGTAAAATGTAGGTCTCGAGACAATCTGTTTCAGTCGTGCCCAAAATTTCAATGCTGCAATCGGACAGCCGAGGCGCTGGCGTTTTGCTGACGGCGAGACGACCGCACAGCCGTCGACTGGGGCTGCGTGAACGAGCTCTGCCTGCCGCACGTTGAACCGCACAATGCCCACCTGGGGAGTTTGGGAATGGCCTGAGTGTTTGCTGGCCTGTTACTATGCTCCTGCAGCTATTAACTCAATCAGGAGAGATAATGCAAGCGAGTTTACTCCATTGTATTGCCGATACAATAAAGTTATTCTCAGAAAAATGCCTTTGTTTCCTGGCTAAGACACAGCAGTAAAAATCCAAAGGTATTGCTGATGTGACCCAACTTAACTAAAGGGTCCCATTCCGAACTGACCTCAGTCTAAGTTTGAATGAAATAGCATTCACAGGAGGAGGAAACTGAAGTCAGTGATAAGTTCACCCTTCATTCTACTCGTTCACCGTCTTTTACAACCAAGATCACACACAAGGCTTTTGTCAGCAGTGTTGTGAGACGCTTTTGTCTACCTTGCATGTCTCAAAGGTGTCTCCACTGTTTTCAGGGCACCTAGTGACTTCACATGCCCACAGTCGATCTTTTTGGTGCTGCTTTCTACCTACTTAACACATAAATGAAATTAATAAAAGCCCCCAGGGAACTTATCTCCAAACAACGAAGTTTGCTTCATGGACAAATTTGTGACGTTGAAGAAGCAGAGGACTTTGAAGTGACACTTCATAGAAGGGATAGAACCAAAGGGGCCGTGGCTCCGGGCTGATATAGATCAATCCGTTCTTTTAGTGAGCGGTGAGTTTGTAATGTGATTGTTAGCTAAGATATCATAGTTGTGAAAATTGGTCGTATCTATTCTCCATTACTCTGCACTGAGGCCACGAGTAAAGTTGTTATTTTTAAATTCATGCTGCTAAGTTGTTGTTGATCGGCTTTCCAGACGATGTATTGCTACTAATTTAAACACAGTACAAAAGATTGATTGGTATTAAACCATCAAAGCTCATGGCACACGCAGGCGTAATGAGCACACAAGTTTGCGATTCAATTTTAAAGATTGCAAGATTTTATAATTACTTAGAAGGGGCTAAGCAATTTAAGTAAGCTATTGTAGGCTTGAATCCTCACTTTTGGGAAATAAAAAGTCTTTTGTCTTACCTTAAAGAACAGCTTTCGCTTTATATTACATTACGGTTTAAATAATGGTCCCCATGTTTAAGGAGTCAGTCTCTACTGAAGGACTAAAGGCTGTCCTACACTCTCCCAATTATGATACTTCGTAGGCCGCAAATAAATGCATTTAGTTTAAATACCAATGCACGAAGCCAAAAAGTGGTTGGATTGGCCGACTTACAGACTGATTCGCTGTTGACACAGGTCAAATTGAGAATGATGCTGCGAGAAATTTAAGCATACTCAAAGCATTTAAAATATGAACCAGTTTCCTTTTGGGAGATTTAGTCAAGTCGCACCCAATCGGATGCAAACATTAGGGGTGGCTCAAGCAACGTTAAACGAAGCCAAAACACTCTAGCATCTCTCCGGATTGGTCGAGCCCACCTGCGCCACACAAATCCAGCCACCGGCTGATTCTCTTGACACGGCCAGGAAGAGTTTTGCCCTAACAGAGCGCGGCAATCAAAATCTAATTGGGAGAAGTTAATTCTTCAATGATTTTTATTCCCAAAAAATTTTCTGAAAGGGTGGAATACCACCCTTACCATAATTTAAATCGACGAAATCATTGAAATATGAATGGAATGATTGCTTATTGAAATCACAACATAAGTGGTGCGAGATGGGCTATTAGACTGAAGATGTAATAAGTTGATCAAAAGTAGTCTACATACATTAGTTTTAAATAAGGAAAATGTGTCTGGTAAAGTAAGACTTGGCCTCTAAAAACACGAACAATTTGATTAATGCATCAAGTACACAAAAAATATATTAAAGAATGCTGTGCCGCCCAAGACAACTGCAAGTGAATGTGGGATTTATTTTTAACGATTCAAATGCACTCGAAGGCTCGGCACCGTTGATTAGGGCTTCCAAACAGTTCCGAATTAGCAGAGTATGAGGTTCCTTCCCGGGCAATCGTGCAGAACAGTTGTGTGTGTGTGGCAGATTCAGAGGTGCCAACACATGAAAGGTAGAATTTCGCATTGACGGCGCTTGCAAGCTCAGGGCGAAACACACCGCCTCTTGATGCACGAACCCACACTTTGCAGGCTGGAGCTTCATTTGGAGTTTTCTTGCGTCGTTCAGCCACGCGAAGTAAAATCAATCGACTGGATCCAATGGGTGGCTAATTGGACAAATTGCATTTCCTTGAACGCGCTAAACGAGATAAGCTACCAATATTTTGTGGCCATCCATTGTTTGGAATTAATCTGGCGGTTTTGACCAATTCATCGAATGTCTGGTTAAAGGAAGCACGCACCCACTGCAGTGCCACGAATTCTGAGCAGAATCGTCGATGGCTCATAACAACAGGTAGGTAAGGGTGGTTTTAGCACTGAAACAAAACGTGGCTTCGGACCTGCACATCAACTAACTTTTACCGTCGGACCAAATTGTTTGCGGTCAGATACGAAGCTCCCTGCATTGATGCGTGCTTGCGTTAACTACAAGACTGATACCACAAGCCCCTAACCACACACATGACGGGCCCACTAATTCTTCATCACCGCATCCCAAAACAAGACCCCAGTCAAGTCTGAGCCTATCAGAATTCACCACAAAAAACATGAATTTGCATCTGTCAGCCCAGTCCTTTCCATTATAGAATTAAATGCAAATGTGGGTACCTCCTGTTTACTATAACCCGAGGCAACAGCCGACGTTGTTTGTGTCGTGGCGCTACTCCTAGTGAGTGCCACTTCGGGCAGAAGGCTAGGACACGGGTGAGTCCTTCGCCCACGCATAAATGTTAAAATAGAGCTTGTTGACTTTTTTCGAGTGAATTTATTTAAACCAGGAAGGCTGAAGTGAACGAATTCAATGCTTGAATGTGAGAGCCAGACACGTATCGAGCACCTCGAACATACTGCGTGCGCATTCATCTTCGTTGTGACAACGAAAAGCGCCTCCCTCGCACCTGGTCAACAAGCACTGGCACAGGGTCTGGGGCTGCGGGTTTTTGGAGGCCTCGTAGGCGTCCATGCAGAATTTTGCGATTGTCCTGAAATTCAGTTAAACAAAGGACGAATGAGGAGGTTCGCGGTGGGCAGGTGCTTGTTTTCACTAGTCTGGTGTTGCCAAACGAACCTGACTAGGACTGGGGCAAACTGGCTAATGGGCAATTCGATGCACACAGTCGTAGCACTTTGTGTACTCACGAAATTAGAAACTGATTCAAACAATGACAACTTACAGACAACTTGGTCGGTCAACTTCTGCCTTTAAACTCGCGGTCGCAACCAAGAGTATAAACAAACACAGATTTGTGAGTGACGAATGGCACATTCCTCGTAACGAGACTTAAGAGACAAGGAACTGGACTGAGGAAAGATTTTGTTCACTGTACTTTATATATACGAGCACGTATTCTTTCTCCACGCGAAAAAAGAAATGCAGCCTTAAGGATCGAATTTCTGGTCTCATGTACCGATTGAATGCGTCGGCATAAAGTATCCATCGTGGTAATTTGAGAGGAAACCCGTTAAAAAACACGGCATTGAACATTCAGTGAGATGTCACGATGCCTCAAGGTAATCGGGAAAAGTTGAGAGCCCCAGGAAATTGGCTTACGATAATTCTATTTTATCCGTTTCAAGCAGGAACATGTGGCACCAACGTTTACTTTTACAAATAATACAATTACCATTAACAAATACTATAAATGTGATCTCCTGTACATATCTTATGAATGGAAATGGATGTGTTGATTGTTTGAATTAACGGTCTTCGAAATGCGCTGTCGTAATTGAAATTGTAGGTACTCGATTCCCATACAAGTCTGGAAGCAATTATGCATAAACAAAAGAGCCGTGGTTTTACCATGCAGATTTACTTTTTAATGGTGAAATTTTGGAGGAAAGCCAGTCTGCATTTCTGAATTTGCTCCACGTTACAGTGCCTGAGGCAATCGGGAATATTTGAAGAAAACGAGGTCAGGTTTAAATGATGAAGGCGGCTGGAACCACCGAGCCCCTTGGACGAATGGCTGCACTAAGTGCAATTTTTATGACATTGCCTTGAGAAATTTAGACAAATTTCTCAAAGCAATTTCGACAATCATATCCCTTTTCTGAAGACTTGGTCATGAAGTTGTTCTATGTATACTCTTATGGAAAATGCCTCATGTAATGGCGGTAGTTTAACTTAATTACCCCTGGTCATGCTTCTTGAATGCATTTGCAAAAGGATAGATGACGCTTTTCGAAACAGAGAAGCCTATTCAACCCACAAACCCGACCGCACTCTCCTATTGGTCCAGCATCAACGCAGCGACGTGATAATGTGGGGTCGTCAAGGCAAAGCGGAGGGTGGGGAGTGTCAATAAACTAACTCCCACACACACACGCGCACACGCCAGTGAGTAGTGTTCACTCACCACGAGGAATGTTTTATGACTGGACGACACTGCAACCACAAGATCGGCCCCCTCACCAGTTCTGTTCCTATCCCGGCCAATTCCCCATTAAAGTCGAGTCAGGCTTCGAGGATCAGGCGGAGGCGGAGAAGAGAGGGAGGGGAGCAGAGAATCACCGGAATGAACGGGAGCGTCTGCGGGTGAAGCAAGTAAACGCGGCCTTTGCACTTCTGCGCGACCACCTCCCAGCGCAGATTCAAGGGGAAGGCGTGGTCGACAAAGCGAGGAGATCCTCAAGGCGGAGCCAAAGAGTATCGAAAGTGAGGACGCTACGTGCCGCTATCCGGTACATAGAAGAGCTCATTCGGATATTACAGATGTCAGAAACTGAGGAACACTCAAACATTCGTGACTAAGTATGCTTTTATATTTTTCAATTATGTCGACTTTATGCATTCAGTCTTGCTTTTATGTCCACTGCATGAGCTGGCCGTTGGAACTCGAAGGGGTAATTCTTGATTCGGCAAAAGAGACGCCATAGACGGCATAAAAGCACTAAACCAAGTGTTTGTCCAAAGCAATATGAATAGATTATACGAAAAAACGGCACTTGTGATTTTGACGAATGTACGTCTCGACTTTACCAATCGGAATCACATAGGCAACGGTAAATCGATAATCGTGTTGGGCATGTGGCATGGTAGCAGTGGGTGCGTAAAAGAACGGGTTGATACGAATACGTTGGGGATCGGTTGAAACATAACCGAAGCACACATGGTCGACCGTGTCCCTGCAGGAGAGAGACCTCGCTGTCGACATCACTCACTCATGTGCTTCTCTGGCAAATCCCGTTCTCACGAGAGTTAATGGGGGTATTAATAAGGCCGGCCCATCTGTGTGCTAAGTTCTGCAGATTTCAAGGGAATCCTGGACAAACATGAATTCTGGACCAAGAAAACTGCGTTTAGAGGTTGATCTCAGCAAGCCTGGTCCACCAACTCGAGCTTTCAAAATCTCGACTGACGGAAAGTAACGTGAAGGGTCCTCCTGCACATTTCGATGAACTCCACCCAAGCAAAAATTTGCACTGGTTAAAGTGAAACAGCTCCTCTCCGTAACCAGTGATCGAATCTCTGAGTCGGTTGATTCAAAAGGCCTGTTTTAACTAAAGTTAATTTATGAGGCGCTAGTATCCAGAGATGGAGTTAGTCGTGTGTGTTGTCTAGTTGCAGGGCAAACCAAGGCAGTATGTTTGGCCCATTGACATGTCTCTAAATAGATCTGTTTGCTTGCCAGCCACCGGCACTTTACTTTTAATCGACGCACAGTCTAAAGCATTTACAGAGATGTTAACTGTCATGCATAGAGGTTAATTTGGTGTAATGTTTGCTAATATGCATCCTCAGTAGAGCAATCGATGATGGCAAGACGCTGACGACACGGCTGCGAAAAAAATGACTCATTAATCGGTGGACAAAAATCTAAAATTCGGGATACTTAGTAAGCACAGGCGCCATGTTACCTTTACGTGAAGTCAATGTCCAAATCGTCGTCTGTACAACCGGATAAAATGGTGATCATACCACCACGAGTGACACCCCGACAGAGCTAGCCGTCTCGAGCGTTTAATAATTATTGGGTGTGGTGTCAGAAGGGGAGGTGGTGCATTCAATGGGCAGGTGCTCACTTTAAAATACCTTTTGATGTTTGCGCAGGTGACTTTTCCCTCCCCCAACCTCCCTCCAAACTCGACAATTCGGTGAGTCGTGAATTATGGTAATGTGCTGTTTGGTAGTGCACATTTGCACTGTCTCGAAGTGAGCCCTGAAGTGGCAGGCTACCATTTTTGGAGCTAGGATCCTTGCAGGGGATAAATCACCCTCGATACGCCTCTTCTCATCACTAGACAGACCGCACCAACTCAGCAAAGAGCTTAGTCACTAACACCCAAATTTGTTTAAAGTCGAAAAACGAACAAATACCATCCGACGAGTCAATGGCGACTATTAGGCTCAAAGTTCTTGTTCGACTGACACGCAAAATAAGTGAGGTTCGAAATCGCTGGGAAACTACAACCTGCTCAAGGTGCTGATGGAGACAAACGCGGATGACAACAATGAACAAAAGAATTTCGTTCCCTGCCCTACTAATAATTGTAGTGGTGTCCTGTAAGTCACTAAGCTTGTACACATAATTGGTCTTCTACGCGCAACTAAAGCAGGGTAAACACGAAGAGTGATATTTAACCTCACTGCCTTACCTAAAAGTGCTCATTTCCCCTTAGAATCAAATCAGTGGTATTTTACTTGTCAACACGCACGTTTATAGTTGATGCCAGTCAAGTGAAAGGTAGGGTCCATCCCATTCAGCAGCACCCAATGGACAAAAGGGATCTTTTCTGCTTGTTGACACGGCGCCGTTATCGAAGCGACACCAGAATTGTCAAAGGTACAATTTGAGCTGCACTTGAGAACGCAGTTCATTCATCAATGCCCACGCCCTGACTCATCTGGTCACTGTCTCCCTCACTCTCACCCCCGTCGATAGGCGAGTTGCCACCCTAGCAACTACCGCAAAATGGGAGTGCGGTGAGAGGCTGGAGGGAGTACGGACGATCGGCGTGCTGACACTGCAAATATGTGAATTGGGCGCGGTCTGGGGGGGAGGAAACAGGATAAGCGCCCAGCCCGGAGTCATGGGAGCGTAAGTAGCCAGACGGGGGTAAAGTTGAGGGAAGGCGACACCCGAGGAACGCCCGAGGCGGATTAATTACCTCGCATCATTTTTAGCGCCAGGAGGGCCTCCAAGGACACAAAGACGTGGACGATATTTGATGTTAGTCAATCTCAAATGGTTACGCACGTTTTCTGTTTACCATCGTCGATTCCAACACACAAATTCCAATCCTACACCTTAACATTCCAGTTGTGGTTCCGAATCTCGGCTAGATCGCGCCGAGACAAACACAAATATGAATTTACGGTGTTACACATTGAATTGGGTTTAGCACTAAAATTAACACGTAATCACACCACTACTAGTCTTTTCAATTTGCATTGTAAAACAAATCTGTACGAATTAAGGCCAACACGAAGCCAAATAGTGGCGAAGGTACGATCAAAGTACTAAAACAATGTCAATAACGAGCGTCCTTATACGGACTATAAAAATCACACGCCTGGATCACAAAGATGGCTCATACACTGTCCAAACTCTCACTGGCCATTAGTTGAGAGTTCCACAGCGAAAGCGAATCGCCAAATAGACCACAAATACAAGGTTATAGACACGAAGCCAGTTTGTGCAGGACTTTGGTCGGGGCTCGGAGATGAACACCAAGAATTCAATTCAGACTTACAACAATTTCATGGCAAAACTCAAACTACAAACCTGTCTTAAACAATACGACCCAGTTATCCCGAGTGAGTAATCAAGCAATTTATGCGTTGGTTCCCTATAAATCCGTTAACCAAAACACAGGCAAAAGACGGCGGTAAAATGTGGTGTGAACTGATCAAATAATAAACATTTTTTTCATCAACACAGACACACCAAACGGTGGGCTGCCACAAGTGTCGCATTGTTGTTTTTTTGCTCATACAAAAGAAGAGGGACGGGTGGAGAGAAAGAGAGAGAGAGGTTGAAGACACATCTTTGTATCTGCGTATAAATAAAAACGCTGACAGGAGGAAAGGGAAACTTTGTACATGCAACGACGCACACACACGCACACGCATAGAAACGAGGGGGTATGGGCGGTCGGGAGCTCTGTACACATTGCTTCATTGCAATGGGAGTGCGTGCATATGTGGGTAAGGCACAGCCGTTTTGGCTTCGAGTGCTATTGTTGCTGCTACAGTTGAGCAATAGAAGTTGTGGACGGATCCTGAGAAAGGTGGTGGGGGAAAAGGGTGGATGTGAGTGAACTTATCGCCAGTGAGAGCGGTAGAAGGCCCGCGACCTACACAGCCGGGGATCGCTTGCAAGAACCACTTGCAGTTCCCGAAGCCCAGCGCGTCGGGTTCGCAAAGACGCGGCTAAGGTAAACCGCGGAGTTGTAGTTGTAGAACCCTGACCCAAACCACCAACCACGGTGGTGCTCGGGGAGCCAGAGGGGGAAGCCTGGTGGACCAGACGAAGACGGGAGTTGGCGCTAAGAAGGGAAAGGCGAGGTGCAGTGGAAGAAGGGGAGTCGGCGGTGGAAAGACCCTGGTCACTGCTGGAAGGATTTAGTGGGGGTCGTGGTCTTCGATTTGCTGGCAGACCAATGGCGTTAAGGGCAGTCCAGTTGGCTTGCTGCTGGCGCTCACGCTCGTATTGTTCGTTTTTAAGCTGGTGTGCCATTTCTCGAAGTCGAGCTTGATCGGGATTCTCGCTCCGAGTACGAGACTACAATAAGACAACGACATGCTAACTGTCGTAAAGGGAACTAGTTAGCGTAGCGGAAAAGTTGTTGATTTAGTTGGAATTTATAAGTAGGATGACCCTCATATATCGTGCTCCAGCGCTCATCTGAAGAAATTCAAATAATAAAATGAAAAGGATATTAGAAATTGATTTAGGATCTTAACAACACAAAACTCCAGAATGAGGCTAACAAATAGGCATTTCGCCAACAAATTATGAATTAAAAAATATTCATACTTAAATGTTTCAGTAAGGATAATTCTCCGGAAAAACCAGTACAACTGAAATAAAAGAACTCAGCATCTACAGGCTTCACGCCTTAATCACAATATACTACAAAACGAATCACTCCCAACTCCCTGAGACAATTGACAGGAGATTAGTGGACATGAAAATTTTAATACCGCGTCATTTCAATGGGCCAATTAGATATAAACAAATTAACTGGAGTAGTGGTATTGCCGTTCAAACGGCGACGGAAACTAAAACATGTGTGTTGCATAGCCTTACTACACCTGACAGGCTGGACAACGTCTCAAGATAATGGAAAGAGAATTGAGCTTCCCAAAGAGGAAGTCATGAGCTGTTACCATCATTATAGGTTCGAGTATGATTTGGTATCGTCAACAGAATTTCTATTTACATCGACCTACTTCATATAACGAAAAAAAGACAATACGCCAGTACTGGCAATAAGAGACGCTGCACACCCAATTAATAGAAGCGAAAACATTCAGTTCGGTGATAAAAGGTCAGATTAGATTAGATTAGATTTCATTAAAATTTTCTTGCAAATTTACGCGATAGGACTCGTAGGTTACCAGAAGAATTGACACTTGTGGACCTCCAACTTTACATAATTCTATTTTACTTCAAAATTAACTACATTAAAATGACAACTTTCAAACAATTTTTTGCCAATGTAAAACAAATTGTATTATTACAGTAACGAGGTGTTTAGTGTCCCGGAATTGACAAAATCACGAAAGACGATTGAGATGGGATCGTGATTTTTTAACATTCTTCGCCACCGAAATTTCCAAATGTTGGCATGATTACCAGTAATAGTTGAGTGAGGAGCCCAGCAATTACGATAAATAGTCCGGTTACAAACCTGACTTATCTTTTTTTAATTTGGGCTGGTTTGAGGCATGTGACCAATATCGTGCAATGGAATCGGGTCTGCCCTGACGATGAAAGCCAAGCAGCTGTGCAGTAGATTTTGGCATCTCGCTGGGCCCGAGGGTGCTGTACTAGATCGAATCACCAAATTTTCAAAAGTGGAAGTTCGAACGGATACACTTCTGACACACAAAATGGGGAGAAATCCGTGTAGGGCGGTTTACATCAAGTCTAAACCAACTAGAATAGCTAACGCACAATTGATTTTTAGTTGCGGGTTCAATAAAAAAAATGGAATTAATATCAGCATGTGATATGGATTCTCTAAACTACTTGATCAAGCACAAAAAAACAATTGTCGAAAATACAAATTGCAACAGCAACAAAGTGGTTGAAAGCTTATTTGCGATCTTGTGTGGCGATTTTTTATAAGAATTTCACGTCCCACATACACCTCATATGAGCGGGGATTCTAGGCAGATCTTGGCTCATTAAAATCAGGAAAAAAAATCCGTGCAACCTCAAACATTGCGATAATACGTTTCTGCGAATTATATTTTAGTGACATTTCTACATTTACGTTATGTGGCATCAATGTTATCACAACTAATATTTGAATAAGAGGTTGGATGTGCAGAAGATAGATAATTTAATTCTTACGCTAACGTTAATTTCACAATACCCAAAAGCAAAGAAGCCCAAAAAGTACAGACCAATAAACCAAAGATACAACAGTCGTTAAGTTAGTCCAATGAAAAATAAGAAAAGGGCATTTGCTTGATTCTACTACCAATGTGATCAGAATAGAAGTAAAAACAACGCTTCTACTATTACCACTTAAAAATTTGAAGAGCACTCTAGTTACGATGACAGTGAAACTCTTATTGGTGAGGCATAACGCAAAGGCAACTACTCGGTAAGCTTAATACATTGGTAAACCTACGAGACATTCAAAGATATTGTTAAATAAAAGGCTAATGTGAAAGCGAGAACACAGGGATACAGTAGCTACATCCTCAAAATGATTTTGCGACAGTCCTTCACTTAACAACAATAATATACGAACAAATCTGATAGTGTCCACATAAAAAAAGGAAGTCGAAAACTTACCTTGGCGGCCTTCAAAATATACTCCTTTTCAAGTTCACTCTGTTTTTGTTTATCGTGTTCACCTAATCGTTGAAGATAGTTTAGTTGTTCCCTTGTATAATCCATTTGTTTAAGATGTGGGTCATCCGATAATTTCACAGCCTTGTGTCCAACAACCACAGAGACGCGGGTGAGTATACTCCGTAGGAAAGCATCCAGTCCATGTGCCAAGCAGTTTAATGCCTCTTCTGAAAGCATATTGGTAGATGTTGCTGGCAACTGAGAAGCAAGGTAGCTCCGAATCTGAGACACTGGAAAGAATGGTTGATTCATCTGGTTTGGAGGAGAGACGACAGTGCTCGATGCAGCCGGTGCGGTAGTTGCAACGGTTACAGTAGGCGAAGATACAATTGAAGGAGAGGAAGCAATCGTAGTAGGGTAAAGCGGACGAACTGTTGCGGCAGTAGCGAAGAGAGACCCACGTTGTGGTGCCATAGCAGTAATGCCAGAGGCAGGTTGAAAAATGGCTGAACTGACAGGTGTCTTTACCCGGAGAGGGAGAGGTTGGGCTGGTTTTAGTTGAGGACGGATAGGCTGGTTTGTTGAAGATGCAATTGTTGTGGTAATGGGCCGCGATGTAAAAACGGAATTTTGTACAAGTGGCGTCGTGGGACGAGGAAGGGTCGGAGCGATTGTCACCGTGGCTGCCTGCGAGAGCTGGAAGGTAGCATTAGCGGGAAGTCCTTCAGGAGGGCGGGGGAGAATTTGTGAAGCGGATGAGGCAGAATTAAGAATGGTTGCTGGGTTGACAAACACTGTTGTCGAAGGAATATTGGGCGGAGGTCGGGAAGGTGGATTAATATGTGGAATGCTGCATGCACCGTCAGCAAGGCTTCTACGCAACTGTACAATGTTATTTTTTAGAAGAGATTCTAAGTCCGTCCTCTTTTTAACACTGTTAAGACAATCACAAAGTTGCGTACAAAAGACATCACAGTCGATTTCCTCATCCTAAAATGGAAGTAAAATTGAAATTCGCCATACAAAGTGGTTTAACGCATATGCAAATGTGTAGAATGGAGTTGCTTACAATGAGTTGCTGTATAAGCTTGACAATAATGCCCTGAGTGCCAGCCGAGGTGCTTTTCTGAGAAAGCTCCATCAGTTGCTTGATGAATTTGACCAACGGTGATTCACTTAGGCCTGGTGCGACTATGGTATTAATAGTTGGAGAATACGGACCTAGATTTCAAAAAAATTAGCGAATTGACAAAACGAAGGGCGGACACCTACAGTCCAATAAATAATTTCAAATGTTAATAAATAAAATGAGCAGAAAGTTAACATTAAGAGCCGAAAAAAACTCAGTTAATGCATGAGCAAGAACCACAGCTTAGTTAAAAAGGGAATGCAAGTCCGAGCAGTACGCAAGGAAATTAAAAAGAGTTACTAAACAATGCGATTCAATTTGATTTAATAACAGGAGATTACTTACGAGTTTGAGGAGGAATTCCAGGCATACCGTTACCCTGTGTGACCGGTTGTCCGTGGGCAAGACTTCTTACATGAAGGAGGCTCGGCTGGGACACCGGTTGCATTTGATTTATATTTCCACGTGGAACAAGATACAGTGATTGACTCATTAACGAGGGTCTGGGTATCTGTTGACAGAAAAAAGGCAACGAAGTAATGCTTCGCAATATGAAATAGCACTGCACTTATCAGACGCTAACATTTTACAGATGCAGCGTTAAAGGCTGCAAACACAGCAGCTAATATTAAAAAAAAAAACCAAGGCGTACCATCGCAGGTGAATTGATGCTGGCAGTGATAGGGCGGAGACCACCACGAATATTTCCAGGAGTTAATCCAGAGGACATAGGCAGGTGCTGAGGTTGACCTATTACAATTCATCATAAACCCAGCATCAAAATTTGTCAAAAGGAATAGCTAGCATTTTAACCGGAATGGTTACTGCTAAGAGACCGTATAAGGTATTTTAAAGAACCATGTCAAGTACTAAATTTGGCAAGCCCCTTCTGCACGATAAAACAGACACAAAATGACACGCCAAAGTTAACACAATTTAAATTTACTAAAATAAGCAATTGTGGTTCATAGAATATACATTTTGACATATTAAACCACGGTTAATTGACACAAACATGGCCACCTCTTGCAGGATCCCCCATCATCAAATAGCGCGGCAAACATTGCCAACTTTGATACGCTAAAACGCATTTCAAGCAAATTATCAATTTACCAGAAAGAGTAAACAATTAACGCTTTACTTTTACATTACGTTAAACATCCTATTACCATTGCAGTCTATTGTTATTTTAATAATTAGAACCGGGCGACATAAACACCGAGTAGCTAATACAAAAATATAGACTGACAGACAATATTGCACAAAATTGAATGTAAATATGATTCTATATACTACTTTATAGATATCATTATTTTAAACTAAGGTCCTTTTTATCCTCTTACACGTTTCAGAGTAATTATTTTGGATTATTTGCATGGTATGCGAACTTGGGCATAACAGAATAGCAGTCAACATATAGAATGCCGCACTACGTTGTTTTGATACAATTAAATTCTCTAAAAGTGCTAAATTATTTCTTGATTGCTTACTAAGTTTTGAAGTACAAGGATTCGACCCTTCTAATTGCCTTAAATGTTAATAGTTTGGCCAGATATAATTTGATTAAAGTGAATGAATCATTTTTGCAGAAATGTCAACATTTCAAACACAAATTATGCATGTTAAAAATTAGTTAATACACTACTTTGATCGCTCAAAGTAAAATTCAAATAATGGCCCATAATGTTGTTTTTTTTTTGTCAAAATTGTGAACAGACTGTTGTTAAATATAACAAATTTTCCGAGGCATTTGAAAGTGGGTCCATTTATATAAGATTCGAGAGATTCAGAACCACATTAGGTATTCTACTACTGGGATGTTTTAAATTTTATTTAAGCAACATCTTTCGAAACCTTCAGTGTTAGGATTTTTATCATTACTTAAGCTTAGAATAGACCACATGCCACAAATCGCAGTACATGCTCCGTTTATACCCGAAACGGCTATAGACCGATGGCAATTTATAATTTTAAAATGCTTTTCTTTATGAATGAAGTAAATTATTTCAAGTTTATATGGATTCATTCCACAATGCGCTTTTAAGCTCAAGAAGTGTAACGACTTCAAATCATACGGCCTTTTAATGAAAACGCTGTTTTTTTGCTAAGTTATTAATAGTTTAAGTCTTTAAAATCGTAAGAATGATGTTGACTGAATTTTAGTCAAATTGCGTTTTTTTTAAAAACTATCGCAGGTCAAATTGTAACTTTGAATTACAACGTAAATTGATTTGAACTGACCTAGGAATTTTAACAAACCAACGTGATTTAACGAATTGCAAACTGCTTTTAAGTTTGTGAATCTGAGTTATTACCCTGCATGAAAAATTCAATGACAGTAGATTTTTAGCACCAACTTAGTGAAAAATGGCTCAGAGAACCCATTACTTTTGAGGCCGCGTCATCCGTCTTCTATTCGCGCAACAAATGAACTCCAGACTGTGTAGGTGCTCAAGGAGGCTGTGGTCGACTAATGTTTTTGAGTGCAAAGACACCTCTTGTACTACTGAGATTGCACTTGAATATTTTGGATTTCGAATGTTAACACTTAAAAGCGGATTTTGGATAGATCTTGCCTTGGTGCGCAATTTTCAAAATACCTGGTTTGAGGCCAATTTTAGTTGGTCGCGCTGCTCGTTTGTTGTAGTCTGTGGCCTAAATCTGTTCCTTTGTTAAATGTTTATATAACAATTGATAGTTTACGACATTGTGGTGCATAGAGCATATTATGGCCTGCTCTCTGGAGTATTCCTCTGAAAGCGCGATGTAGTATTGCCAATTGTGGCGATCGCACCATTTATCTTCCCGTGATTACTGCAATAGGTGTGCATATTAGTTGTCATGTGCGAGTAATATGCTGTATATGGGAAACGCCTAATTTATCCTAAAGTTTTCCGCCATCCGCATAAATTGATCATCAATATTTAAACTTTCTGTTCTCTGATTGAGAGTCACTTATGTGCTGTCATTGATAGTTGTCTCGCTCGGTTTTCGTGTATTTTTTTTTTCATTTCTTTCCAATAGAATTAGTATTGGAATGAACTTATATATGCCATCAGTGAAAGTTCGAAGCTATTGTTTCTTGAAATCACGATTTTTTTACATTACCTTAGTGTTTTAAGTTTACTTAATCGCTATTATAATCATTCTGGTGTGCGAGAGTTACTAACTACTGCAACAATTAGATGTCCAGGAATTTTCGCACTTAATAATTCGGATTTCATTGTGACTCTTAGTGTGATCTTTTATAAAAATACGGTAGCAATCATTACTAAGGTTGAAAGTTCCTACTTAGTAGCCAAAGTTTGGTGCTGTCGTTACGTCACCTAGCTGATTTTGTAATTACTTAACCCTTCTCAAGGTGTACTTCCATAAGGCTCTCAAACATTCTGGAAGCCCTGTTGTAGTTAGTGCTATGTTGGGTTTCTTAGTGTCTTATCCAATTGTCCCCACTCTGTGATATATATCCATGAGATGACGCAAGTCTTGCTTTATAACGCCACCCCAGTGGTTGACAAATAACTTTGGTGACTTAAGCGTTTTTATTTTGCTGTTTCTGCACCATTGGGTGATGTAACTTCGTTGTCGAGGTTCTGCGTCAACTTGTGACATGAAGGGAAGAACTTGAAAAAGTCAAAGTTGGATCTACGTGTATTTAGTGTTACTTCGGTTGGTTTCCACTGAAAACTAGGGCATCCATTTTATTCAAAACCTTTCAGTGACTTGCCTAACATTTTTGTTTCTTTCGGAACCAAGGTAACAATCTGGGCCGTTTAGTCATTGACATTTTTAGCTCGAATCGTGGCTTATTGCTTAAATCCCTAGCTAACAAAAGAGCGTCGAAAGTGGCTAATGCTTTTTTGGTTTGCTGATATTAAAAGGTTCTGAAACCTGTGTAGGCTTCCTCAATTACATTTTCATGAGTTTTTGATTTAGAATACAAATTTAACAATAGTACTTTAACTTCTTTACTCTGACCTAAATTTTTTTACTTTTTATTTAAATGGTAACTGCCTTCACAGCGTTTAAAATTAGTAAAAAAACAGTATTCTTCATTGACCATTTTCTCTGATCTTGACGTCGTACTTCTTTATTGGTCTGTGTTGGTCGTGGAATGCCAAGTACACTTCTAGATAGTTCTTGGACCAGCAAATTGTTTTTTTTTAGTGTCACTTTCACTCATCTTTCGATCGGCCTGTTGAGAAGGAAAGCACAGTTGAGATTGTAAATGAATTAGTGCCGAAAATGTGGAATTTTGTCCATTTAACCCCTTGAAAACGCACTGTTCTATAAATGCCATAAGTGTTTGCAGTAACTGGTTATATGGTACTCAAATGTGAGTTCTTAGAATGCATACGGACTCAATCCACAATTCTGTGCAAACTATTGACTCATTTTCTTTTGACTTAATTGTTGTAGTTTTGTACACATAAAAGAAAAACGGCCTGGCTACTCTTTTTCATTAGGCATTAATTTATGGTGTCAAAATTAAACAAGCAAATATCTATGGGCCAGAGTCTGGAAATATATTGTAAAACGTCGTCTGACGGGTGTTATTTCTATTTAAGTTTCGGATGAAACAAAATACATCTGGAATTTTACACGGGCCGCATATTTCAATTTCGGATGCTTCCTGTTTCGAAAAGATTCCGGAAATTCCGGTTTATCGGCCGTCGGAGTCAGAGTTTAGGGATTTTGCTGCGTGTATGTCCCTAATCGAGCGAATGGGAGCCCAGCACATGGGTCTCTGCAAGATCATCCCGCCAGCCACCTGGTGCCCCCGTCGTGGTGGCTACGATGACCTTGACTTCACTATTGAAAAGCCCATTCTGCAGTTCAGTGCTGGGACTGGTGGAATTTACCTTCAAGTAAGAGTTAAACTTTCCTATGTTATCACAGGATGTACGAGCTCAGAAGAGTATGAGTTTCAAGAAATTCGAGAAGATGTCCAACTCAGCGAGGCTTCAGACGCCGACTCATAATAGCATGAATGATTTGGAGGAAATTTACTGGAATTCAATCGGAAACCTCCAGCCCATATATGGGGCCAATGTGAGCGGGAGCTTGACTGATCCTGATCAGCCTTCTTGCAACATTCCCAAACTTCGTTCAACCCTGAGCGATATTTTGGCTCAAGAAGATATTGAGATTGGTGGTGTGAATACTCCATATCTCTACTTTGGCGCCTGGGCCACTACCTTTGCCTGGCATGTAGAGGACATGGACCTTTATTCGATAAATTATCTTCACTTTGGTTCACCCAAGCTATGGTACTGTATCCCGCCAGCATTTGCACGAAAATTCGAGGCGTTTGCTCGAGGTAATTTGATGACTACATTTGTAACTCATTTCTTCAGAGCACTTCAAACCCGAATTTCTAGCGTGTCACAGCTTTCTTCGTCATAAGTCCATATTGATCAACCCAAGAGTGTTGGCTGCAGCTGGCATTCCTACGCGGCGGGTAAGCTTTCGACCAACTAACATTGCATATTGTCGCGTTTCTTTCTTATAGATACTGCAACACGAGGGTGAAATAATGTGCACCTTCCCCTATGGCTACCACGCGGGATTCAATACAGGTGTCAACTGTGCGGAGTCTACAAACTTCGCTCTTCCGCGTTGGGTAGACTATGGAAAACACGCAACCATATGTAAGTGTTGGGATGACACTGTGCGGATAGAAATGAGTCCCTTCGTTCGTCGAGTCCAACCACATTTGTTCGATGTGTGGCAGTGTGGTTTGGACAAAAGTCCTCACCCTCTAGACATCTACAAACCCCGAATGCGTGAAGTCGCAACTCTTGTGGATGCATTGATTAATTCTGAAGACAGGACAGCTTCCTCAATTTTATCTCCAGAAGACAGTGTTATGGTCAGCCTTGGGAAGCGCATAGCAGATCTCAACGTCCAGGGCCTATTTTACGCACATGGAGGTCTGTCTCTTGTTTTTTCTGTATTCTTAATGCTATCTATTAGCATTACCCATGTGCTTACCTTCAGACTTGCTCGGTAAATGTGCTACCACTGTGCATGTAAAATTTCGAACTATTAATCATCTAACAAGGTCCTTTGACATCCTGGTGTTCAGCAAATGTGGTTTTCATTTCGATCAAGCCTGTGTCAAGTACTACTAGAAGATTCATGCTTAGTGATAATGTAGTTAGTTAATGTTAATGTTAATTATATCATGGTAGTCTACAGGTTATACTCAGGAGCTGCCATACCTTGACATCCTCATGTGATATGATGGTGGTGTAATTCACTAAAAGGGATCTGTTTGAACCCCAAATCTTGGCTGCTTGACCTGCAGAGGCATGCTAATAAAGTTCAATTTTTTTAACTTAAAATTACATTTCAGTCCAAATTATTCGTAATTACATTAGATGTCGTGCTCATACGGTCAGTATTTACGTGTTCATTTTATACCTGTATCAGTAATGTCGATTATAAACGCAACTTTCAGTGGCCTTATATTATTCAATTTTCTTGGAATTCTGTTTTAGCATTTTGTTCAGTTTGACGGTTTCCTTGAATAGTTACATGCTCACAAATGAAATCGCTATGACCGAAATACATAAGGTCCCATCTTCACAGACTCGTGTTTTCGTTTCTTAAAAATTTACCGTTTGTGCTTGCTAAATTCAGATCGCAGATATGGTTCAACAGTGGTTGATTTTCATTAGCCTGGTAGAGTTGCTTCTTGCTTTAATAAATAACCTTGTGCCATTTCGGGGCTGTCGGTAAAGGCGATATCTTAATTCAGCCCCTTTTATTCATTTTCAGATTTAGCGAAGGCAACCCTACCGTCATATCTGAGGCGCAATCGTAAGCTTCAGGCTCTTTGGTGTGGCTTTAAGAAGGATTTCAGGGCCATCGTGCATTTCAACACCCTCATCGGCACTCTCGAGCCCTTCTGCTCGATTTGCGCATTCTTTTGGCCCCCGTTGGTTCGTTTTCCAACTAGTATACCCTCGGCCAGTCACCCACCATCAAGGTCTCCGATCATTCTTTCACATTTTAGGTTGCCAGAAAGGCTCTCACCGAATCGCATAAGGGAGAAACCCTACCCGAATTCAGTGAACCCTACCTCTCTGAGGTCGCCTTCTGTCGGTCGCCCAGTGACTTTCCCCACATCTGCTTGAACGGAGACCCCGCTAGCCGAGTTTACCAGTGCTGCCGGTGCAAGGTGGTCGTCCACGCGCGTTGTTACGGCATTGATGAGGCCCGTGAAAGCAACCGTTTTTCGTGGGTGTGTGATGCTTGTAAATCAGACGATGAAGAACAGGTACGTTTTCAATGCTTTGCTTAATAAGTGAATGGATCTTTCAAGTTCCGTTAGCGTTTTTTTTCTTTATGTTGCAGTCTAGACGTTGCAGTTTTACTAGAATTTGTGCTTTATAATTTGCTATTCGGTCTAGCGTAATCTTACCCATGGGATTGTTCATAGTGTCACCTCACATTGTCCCCTTTTTTTGGTTTCTAAACTCTCCTAATAGTATTCTAGTAAGCATGCTAAATCTTTACGCTACGGACTAAACGGAGATGTCTGTTTCTATTTTAATTACTTGTCAGAATTTCTCACCCGTGTTGTTCCCTTTGATGAATGGCTGCTTCAGTGTTACCCTCTTGTTTCGATAGCAATGCGTCCTGTGCCCGATACGCGGTGGAGCTCTCAAACCTTTGGCTAATCCCTGTAACTCGAATGACCACAAGCAGTTTTGGGTTCATCTGGCGTGTGCGATTGCGGTGGGGTCACAACAATGCTGCTTCGTTGATGTTCGTCTGCGCGAACCTCTGTTACTTGTATCCCGGAGATCAAAATCTACGTCAAAGAGGTCCTTCGAATCATCCAGCAGTACTCAAAATGCATCACAGCGAACTGGACTACCGCTGAAACCTCCGACACAATGTCCTGAGACTCGAAGGCGTTCAATGTGAGTAATTATATTCCGACACAGCCTGTTAATTTCGGTCATTTTGAAATGGAATACCTTCATTCCTTTATTTTCCATGCGACGTCGTTGGGTGTTTTTTTGCGATATGACCTGTCACGGTGTCTTGAGATGAAATGAGGCAGTTAGTCGTGTTGTCAAAGGCACGTATTTCTATTTTCGCACCACTTCATGGGTAAGATGTTTTGAATCATGAGACCATACTGCCGGAAGCCGATGTCCTAAGCAGGTCTTGCTTATAGGTTGGAGCCTATTTCGCTTCCGAATTCCGGATTAATTGAGTTGGAAAGTGAGGAACGTGAGTTTGTCATGCTTGTTTTAGGTACTCTGTTTATTTGATTTTGGGCATATTCTACTGTTTGCAACTACGAAATTTCCCTCTTTCTTGAACAGCTTTATGAACCAATTTAGTCTTGCTATTTTTTATCGCGTCGAGTCACAAATCGCTGTGTTGACGTAATGCTTTGCTCTAGTCACAGATCACCGGAAGACTTGCAGCCAGGCATCTGTATTTACTGCTTTTTTAGTCGGAACCGTGCGAACAAACCCGAGGTTCGGGATGCACCACTAACTACCATCAATCTTGCATCTCCAGAGAAACACCTCAGTTTAAAATCCCCAGAGCACTCCTCGATCAGGTACTATCCATGCTTTCGTTCAGAAATTCGTAATCAGCACTTGTGGCATTGACTTTTTTTCTTCCTACTAAAGGTCGAAGGCCAAACTTGCGCCGTCTCATGTCAGTCTACCACCGCGAGATGGAAAACCCGCGAAATTGGCCAAAGCTCATGGACTTGGGACACCGCGATTGACCATGTACTTTTTGGTGCATAATATAACAGTAGCGCATAAACAACCGCAAAAGCACAATCCCTAAACGCCGTTTTATCTTAGTTGTCTCCTTTTTTCGCCTTTTTTGCGCATTGTCTTTTGTAACTGTGTAGCTGTAAATTCGGTGCGCTGAGTAGGCTAAATCAGTTATTTCAAAATCAACCACAGTTCCGTCCGTCGTTTTGTCACGCTCTTAATGAATAACGCAGGCAATAGGGCCTATTGGGTCTTCGAATTTTGTAAAGTCTAGAGTTTACACTAAAGATTTAGTACTGAGTTTCGGTAGCAATTTCCCACATTCTCCTTCAAGGAATTTAGTAGCGATTCAGGTGGTTTGGGCAGCGTTTTTCCCGCATCAGTCATTTCCCGTTTTTTTTTCTTTCTGCGCAACACAATGCTTGAGCGCATCCTCATCAAAACAGCCCCACTATTGCACGTCTTATTTATCGTCACAGTTCTGGCCGACTCGGCAGTCCGACGTGGTGGAACTCATCTTTGTCTTGTGCGGGTTCCTCAACACCTCCCATCCGCTCCAATTCGGAGTTTGATGATGAAGAATGGGAGTTAGACAATGCAGGCAAACACTCACGTCTGTCGTCAAATGCATCTCGGAAGGATGAAAGTTGGAATGAGTCAAATTCTGCTCTCCAGGAGTCCTTCATATTGACACCTCCAGCCTTCAAAGAGTTTGTCGTTTCCCTTTTTTAGTGGTTCTACTTGAACTGTTTAATGCATCTATTTCAATTATGAAAGTGGCTTTTGTTGGGGACTATTAAAATCTGAGCATAGGTGTTTCCGCTAGATTTCCTTGTCTTGTTTCTTGTTAGGTGTAGGCAGACATTAGCTCCTAAATCCACTCAGTATCATGCGCGGTGCTGATGCCCTTTGAAGGCTGTGAAAACAGTTAAAATATCGTTAGAATTATTGTGTCTTTTCATTTTGTCCTTGAATCCGAGGTTTTGCTATCAAAATATAAATTTTACTTCTCCCAAAGGTCAAGGAACGTAAACTAGATTGTAAGGCACATCATCACCTAGAGACCATTTCTTTAACCTGTTCTTTTTAGGCTGGTTTTGTTAAATGAAATATTTTGCTATTTTTTTAGGGACAATGGTGTGAATGTAGCTGCTTCTACTTCAACGGCAGACTCTGCTGGCACAACTACAGCTCCGTCCGATGCATTTTATGAAGACGAAGGATCGTCGAAGGCGTGTAGCGACGTCATTGCTGTCGTGGAGGTCAGTGACAGTGATGATAGTTGTCAATTCGTGTTAGAATCGCGTCACCGGTCGCAGAGGCGGGCGCGTCCCCCAGCGTGGACCACTCGGGATTACCTTGTCACGAGACCGCGAAAAATCTCCAAGTATGCTCTTTTTCTCATTTAAGCTGATTTCGAGTCTTTACCTGATTTAAGTTCGCCTGGCGATGCGTTTGTTAGTTAGGCCTTTGCGTTTAAAAGGTATTGAGTCAATGTTAGAGGTCCTTTTCGTTGTTTATTCTTGCATTTTCACTTAAACCGTTGACTTAATCGTAGCACAAGCAATGCTTCATGCATTCTAGTGTTCACTAGGTTTCCCAATTAAGCCTAGTGGTCCAATGGATGTGTATAGCCCCATTACAAACACTTGTCTACATGTTTGGCTTGTCGCATTACCAAAATGTGTTCTTTTATTAGTGAGTTTTGCTTTCATCATATAAAAATCCAGCGTTAGCTTAGTATTTGTCCCTAAGACCCTCTGTTGCTTACCTTCACTTCTGACGCTGGAAAGCTTTGCAGGACCCCCACAATTTGTATCTTTACATAAATAAACGCACGTTTTAATGTATTTCAGACAATGTCGAAAGCTTTCAAATACTTCCCTATCCCCAACAAAAAATGCCCCATCGACATCAACAGCCATCCACTCTATTGAGTGTGGTCGACAACCATCTCTCAAGGCAAATGTCAGCGATCACTGTGATGAATGTGGTCTCCCATCTCCCGGGGGTCCAAACCTTAATCTCCCATTGGTTCACTGTTGGCACAACAATTGTCCCGGTCGCATCCATCTAACCTGTGCACAGTTAGGCGGGGTCCTAATTGCTACTGGACGATACCCACATTGCTTCTATGTCGCATGTCGTCGCCATCTAAGTGAATACCGACAGGTTAGACATATTGTTGTCTTTTAGACATTTCCTCTGGTTCCTGTGTGTCTCGTAATTGGGAAGGCCATCGACCCAGTCCCTTTTGTCTGTAGTAGTATCACATAGGGCGCTAATTTACTTATCCACTCATGGATTATATGGTTTACTCTCAGCACCGGACTTGTGGCACCCATAAGACATTTAGTAGTTGCCGTGTTGCTCTCAGTGGCCAACATTAGAACTTCAGACTAAAGTATTTGGATTTAACGCCCTTCTCATAAACAGACAATTTTTTGTCACTTTTGCGCAACCCACCCAATTTAGCATAATATGAAAAGTGACTCATCAATTAGTGATTTTTAATCAGCATGTCGGTGTTGTTTCGGTCCAGCTGCATTAAGGTGTTTCGACGTGCTTTGGAAGCTCGCTGTCTTACGTTTGCGGCATTTGTGTTTTTTTTTTTCATTTCTGTTTTACAATCCGGTTTCAGTATGAACAGGTAGACGAGGAGGTGCCGCTTGAGCCTGGTGACCCGGTATACGCGCTTTACCCAGGAAACGGTCGCTATTACAATGCCGTTGCGGTGGAACTGGCTGCTCCGCGGGTCTGCAAAGTGGTTTTCCAGGACGGGACGTTTTCTCGTGATACTCCCTCCGACTGCATAATTGTGAGCCCTCCCTCGACTTAACCCATACATCTTACCCTTGTGTACACTTTCACGCCTCTGCTGCTCTATTCAGCCAGCGTCGGTATTTTGCATAGGTTTTACTTATTCGTACAGTTAGAGGTGTTGTCGGATCTGTCTGATTTCCCCCCTAGTGTTTGATTCTAGAATCGGTATAAATTTCCGTTTATGTTAATTCAAAAAACTGGTCGAGTTAAGGCGGCATGAATTGCTGCAAAAGTAGACAGTTCATCTGGATAGACACACCGAGATCATATGCGTCAAAAAAAACAAATGCATCTTAGACCAATTTATAGTAAATGTAGATAAATGTGTGTTCTGAAAACGGTAAAAAACTATTATTAATGCCATTATGCAGAAAGCTAAGTTTTAGGCCGTAAAGTACATCCCATGTCACCTTGCTTGGAGCACCACTAATTGTGTGGTCGACGTTCAAGTGAGTCTGTGCCGAATCTGAGCGACGTTCTCTTATCATTATCCGCAGATGCACGTCTTCCATCGCAAGCACTAATCGTAGGCTCAATGTGGGCCTTCTTTTTGAGCACTTGTCCCAAACCGCAGAGTTACATTTTTGACGGGTGAGGCCATGCTCCCATCGCTTACCTCAAGCACTCCCGTGTAGTAACATTACTTCGTCTTGTCTTGGAGTGCCGGTAAGCTGGAACTGGGCACATTCGTGCAATAAACACTCGTTGATTCGCCTCGTTGTACTTTGTGTGGAGGTTATGCTGCTCGACGGCCGACGGACCACGTGCACCCTTCCCTTGCCCCACTCAGTCGTGGTAGAAACCATAGTAGCAACTGTCATTTTTTTGCAGGGCCATGATTGGCGCAGTCTTGGTTCTCCAAAGGTGGGCTCCCAAGTTAAAGTCAAATGGAAGGATGGCGTGGAGTATCCGGCTGTCTTTGAAGGCGCATCAGTTGACAAGTGGAGTGTATGTGCTTGTTTTTCTTCTATCTAGGTATAAGCTAAATTAGCGCTGTAAACTAATGATAACCTCCTTCAAACAACTTGTTGTTGTTATTGATTTTACAGATTGCCGCAAATATAAGCAGCCCCTGATTCCTAACATCTCCTGTGGGTGGCGCAACATTTCATTTTCAGTTGTTTTACGGTTCGAATGTACATTATTTGGCTTTGCAAAAACACTCCTAGGATGTTTAAATTACCCGTGTCCAATATAGTTGAAGAATTTTGTTAAAAATTTTATCGTCTTTAATTTAACAGGCTTGATTTGTAAAAAAACCGTGGCTCTCTACGGCACTGTTTAGTCAAGTCTCTAGACAACCTAGCACCCTGAAGGTATAAGATAGCATCATCATCGCCCTTAGGTAAATATTTAAAAGCAGTTTTGTGTGCTCGAGTGTTGGTGAGCTTATAAAGTAATTTATACGGGGCTGTTTATAGAACAGAGTATAAACGAAGTTTTGTTGATACAATTTGTACGTACACAAGCCAAAACTGATTGAATCATTCTCGTAAAATAGGTAGTTTTTTTGCTAGTAATGAAACGAAGCTACAAAAATGTTTATCCACACTTTACACTAATTTCCTATCCGTCGTCGATCGGTACAGGCTTTGCCTACGCATCGCAAAACGGTTCTTCTGGTTAATCATTCTTAGATCTCTGCCACATTCATTTTTGATGTGAAGATTCTAAAAGGTGCCTTCACTTTCCCAATGTGTAGGTCCGCTTCCAAAACGGTCAGACTGTTCGACTGCGGCGTGATAAAATCTTCCGTGTCAATGAACGGATACCAACACACATTCGACGACTGATTATGCGTTAACATCTTTGCGACTTCCATTTTTATCTTGGTAAGTGTAGTTTTCTTTAATCACACTCATGTATTTTGTTCGATCCCCTGCTCAGAATATTCTGTTCCCTTGCTTCCAGAAACTTTTTCACGCGCTTTTCACAAACCTTTGGCAAAGTTGCTGCTCTGTATGTATTCATTAGAAAATTCAAAATAATAAAACTTATCATTTTTTTGACTGTTTCATGGTCACTTATTGTGTGTGCGATTACTGGTTCTGTTCTTCTTGAGCCTGACTGTGTGTAGCTACCAAGGCCCCCTTGTCATGATTATTTGAGCCACATGAAGACTGAAAGTAATAACCGCGGTAATAGCCAGACAGATTTAGGTTCCCAGCTGTCTAAAACTGTGGTTTCACAAAAATAGACTTACACATGCACTTGAGTCACGGTTGTTTTTTAAATCATTTGGTTAAACTCAACAGTTATTTTGTGTCACGCGGTCTTCTTGATGATCTTACGTGGTTTTCCACAAATCATGGGCTTCGGACTTGAATCATAACCACAGATGGCGATTTGCCCACCAAAGCAGTTTGGCGGGTTATCAACTTGTTGTGATTCACATTTGCTAATCCGGTCGCTCCATTCTCTGACACATTGCCCCCTCACACCTCATTATCTCGAACACGCGTCCGGGATATCACCACGCGTGGTAACTTTCACGCTGTTTCACACTTCTGGGCTATGGTTACACACACGCAAACGCCACACAGAGCACAACGAATCAACACGCCACGGACTCGAATCAACACAACCGCGGGCACACACCGACGACAACTTTACAGAGTTCTCTAGTAAACGGTTGTCCCTCTGTTGTCTCAATCCTTTTTGGGTATTTAGTTGTATATTGTGCTGCAACAAACACACCCAAGCTGACATATACTGAAGGTCATTTCATTTTTTTTGTCACGAACACCCTTTGCAAGTATTTCGTTCGCATTGGTGTGGGCCCAATTTTCGCGAGCTCCCACATTGAGCAGGTACCTTCTTTCTCAGCTATGTATCAAACGGATCAGATTGTCAGTGTTACTTGTTTTTGTTTATTTTCCAGGCAAGTTAATCACTAACGTTTCTTCATTTCAGGTTTTATCACATTTTGAGCAATTTTTGGGGATTCAATTATCTCGCAACTTCTTATTACTGGTCGCATTTTGAGACAGATCCGCTATATTTTCACAATAAATTATTTTATACAAACGGCTTCTCTCTGACGCGAAATAGTGGTAACCCACCCGTTTGCACTTTTAGTTGGTGCTGTCTGTTAAATGCAACTAGAAAATTGCGCTTACAACCATGATAACCAGAGCGGATACCTGCTAGACGTCTTTCAATGTCAAAATTAGCATACCGGTGATAGGTCTACTATTGGAGTTGGATGGATGAATGTGTGCTGGAAGAAGGAGCGCGCGACCCTTTGATAGTGCACAGTGGGCCTTTAGCATTGCCCGGCTTGCCACACTACAGTGCATTAATACTGATCTCTCACAGTATTGAGAGCGTGTTGATCAATGTAGGGAATTGTCACAACTATCACATCCTTACGTCAATATTTCTTGGCCAAATTGAACCAAATGCTTGAAAGTAGTGCAAAATTGCTACGCATTTATTTCAGCCAAAACTGCGTTTACAGTTAACTCCTAAGTAAACACTATTCCACACCAGATTTAAGGGTCAGGACTGCTTTTTCGGGACGAGTGGCTGGCGATCCATAAGTGGCAAAAAGGTTAGATTTATTCTTTTATTCTCAAAACCACAGCCATCCCCTTCGAGTTCAGTCTATGCTCACTTTCTAGATTATTATTGATGTTCGGATTTCGAGTTTTCATATTTGGAACGTCGACTGGCAAAGCTATTTGTGACCATAACGATTTCTGTGACATGGCTTATCGTCATTGACTTTCCTACTTTTCGACTTCCTCTTGTGCTAATTCATCGGTCCTGTTTTTGGTGTTTTACGCTGATTTTAAATCGGCGGCGGCCTAAATAGAAGGCCTTCATTCGATCTAAGGAATGCTAGGGGGCCATTGGACCCTTTCTTCATTTGCACTATTATTAACGCGTGGGGCAACGGTCGGAGGCTATCTGATCCTCCACCGAAGGTTCAAGTTTATTTAGTCTACTGTGATAACCGAACTCTTGATGGCTGCCTCACACTGCGAATAGCTCACGTAATTTAACGTGCTCAGTCCTTTTCTGAGTAACATCTAAAATCTCTTTCTGTCTTTGCCGCCAAACATGGGATGCTAGGTCTTCTAAGTCACCTCGTGCTGCGTTTCTTCAAATCACTTTTTGCGCCCATCTTCGTTCGCGAGCACTCCAGCTATACTTAATGAGGCACTGAAGCCTTTGACTCCTCAAAGGTCACTACATACGCATGTCTCATTTGATATATTCAATTGCATCGGGTACCTTCCGTTAGCTTAGTTTTTAACCCTTGAAGCACATCCGAAACCGGAAGTATAGACATCGTAGCGGTTCCTGAAACCACTCAAACCTATCCTCCTGGATACCATTATTTTAGAGTGTTTGCTCAATCTGAAATCGTGCAGTTTTTGCAGCTCGTGGATCTTCTTTTAGCTCATAATTGCATATCTTGCCCTGTTAACCACCTAGTTATTGTACAAGTGCCATAAACGTGAACTGATCAATCTTTCTCGTATATCTCCACTTTTGTGGAACTCATCCATTCTCAGGTGAAAGCAACCAGTTGCCCACATATTTCGAAAAGCGATGCTTACTTCGTCCTTTGAAAGCCCTCAAACTTCCAGTTCACTGTGACCAGCATCATATGATCGATTTAATCTTTTGGAGCACCATTCGATGACCTCCAGATCCATTTAACCTCCCAATTTAAAGTAGAAGCTTCCAAATCAACCATAACTTCCTTTAATTTGCGAAATGACAAACTACAAAGACCAGGCTGCTCTTCAGATCACCTCAGGTATTCCTGCAAATCACTGAAGTCTCATATATTTCGTTTTCGTGGCACAAGTTGCCATGTCATGGGTCTTGTAAGTGCATGCGTCACAACTGTTAATTGTCACTTTGAATTTCGTTAGTTCGAAGATGAAAACTTGGCTTTCATGGCCTTGTTACCCATAATCAAGCTGAAACCGTTAATTAGACGTTACTGTTTCCTTTCAACCGCCTTTCACTCATACTCATGATGACCAGTCAGCGATTGTGTTTGAGACGGATTAACTGTGAAGTTGGGCCCGAAACCGTTAGCCAGCACCGCAAATTGGCATTTCTGACAAACTCGAAGCCCTACCTTTTTGTGTTTAAGCTATTCAAGTTAACAGGTCATCATGGAAACGATTGTTTAAGGATTGCTGAAGTTGATTCGAGTGTATGAACCAGCATTAAATTACTTCAAATACCTTTCGGGAAACTGTTGAAGCTGAATCAAGAATTATTCCAGCTTATCCGCGGTGTGTTGGATGAGTGACCGCACAAATCGTTGCCTATTTCATGCGATTGGACGAATTCCTTCCTCAAAATACCCACCCCAGCTGTTACTCGAATCATTTTACAGTGGTCAATGAGTCCCACAGTTCCAAACGAATTGGTAAACGCAAGTTCCTGACCAAATTAGTCGCATCACCCTTTTTTACTGAAACTAGAGGGATGTGAGATGAATGCCACACGTGGCTTCGATTCAGGTATTAGTTAGAGCTTTTATGGGGATTTCAATGTTAAGAATGCAAAGAGAACTGTGTAAAATGTTACCACAGACGCATATGACAGCCACGAGTTGTGGCAAATTAAATCTAACAAAACTAGGAACTGGCGAGACATTAAACGCGGGCATCGTTGAGATTTTACGGAAGCTTAGACTGGTATAATAACTAGCCAAAGTGGAAGACGGCAGCGCTGGGCGATCGAGTGGCGATTGATAATAACCATGCCTGAGTACTCGGAACCAGGACATCATTTGAAGGTACATGCGTGACTAGCAAATGTTTTTGTTTAATATTACAGACATCAGATTGAGAAAAGAACCACTGGAAACCGAAGTAAATAGATGTTTTAACCCACTAGAAATATAAATTTTTAATCAAAGGACAGTTTCAATTTACACCTGCAAAATTGTTAAACGGCAAAATGAGCAGGACGTGTGTCGCAGCTACAAGAGTACTACCTTGAAGTAAGAACAGATACACAAGGAGGGAGAAGGTGGGGTTCAGTTATTCTACGAAGCGATAGTAGGCCGTTCCTGTGACGGTGACAGCTTGCCACACAGCAAGACACCAGAAGAGAGCAAACCCCAACACCCCTTCGCATACACTGCTTGCCTGATAACTGATAGAGTCCCACATCACTCCGAACGCCTCCCGCGTCTGTTGGAGCACAGCAAACCAAGATGCCGTGAACACCGAATCCCATTCCTGTCCATCAAAAATTTGTAGGACCGTCTCCAACGCATTCGGTAACGAATGTCGCTCAGATGGGCGAAAGACAGGCTGCTGGTTGAGGGGGAGCCACCCTGTGCCAGTGGAGACCTTGTAGGAACAGGCGAGACCGATGAGCAGGATGGTAGGAGCCAGGTACTGTAGAGCAGCAAAGTTAAAACAATGGAACACGCTAGCTACAATTCGCTGTACTTCGATATTGGTGACACGCCCAGGCTCATGAGAAAGACGATCAAGACGAATTTGGGCGGTATCGAGGAAAGCCTAAAATAGGGAATTGGTCATAAATTAAATTCACGACTTAACGTATCGATTTCAATCAAGACGATAAAGGTTAGAGCCCCTACGGCCCTTAGTGACACTGTTAATTAAAAAAGGTGTTTAAAGTGCTAGATCTCAATTAGAGAACCTACTCGATGGAATCCTTCAACCTAGTCAATGTTAAACAAGGCTGCGGAAAATATGGCCTCGTTATATCAAAAAAAGGACCATCATCAACATGGATAGTTAAATCGTGTTTTACCTGCATATGCATTTTTGTCATAGCTACACGAAGCACTACAGTGATGAGGGTAAAAAGGAGACGCAGGCTGGAAATCCGTTCGAAGGAAAATATGCGAGCACAAAAGACTGAAAATGAGAGCCAAATAGGGCCCAGTTTATCTCCGATCCCCGAACTCGCGCGTTGCAACATCAATTCGGGAAGTCGAGCCGTTAGTGGCACGACCCACAAAAGGAGGGTCAGTTGGGGGGCAATTAGATTGAGGTGAAAAAGTAGGCGGGTTAACCAGGAGATTCCCGAGTTCCTACAGTGGAAAAGGGCGTACTTGGATATTTGAAGAATGAATTTAGCGATAATAGATTTCATTCTAAAATCATGAAAGTAAATCAGATAACATACACCCTAGGCCTACTGGTAGAGACATTAGTAAAACTAAAACGTACTGTAGCGTTTGTATATACACACGGCCATATTGAAGGCTCGGGAAGGTAAACAGCATGCCGATGATGGCAGCGAACGATGCAAGACCTGCCTGAAACATGCCCCAACTAATGGCCAAGCCGCCATCTGTGTTTGAAGTGATTGAAAAAGTTAAATTGCCGTAGGCCGGTGAGATTCGCAGATCCAAGAAGTTTTCATCAAGTGACAGACAAAACATTGCGAAAACAAATGATGAAAATCCTGCAACCATGATGAGAGGCCACTCTGAGTTACTACCACCTCCCTGTTCAACCTTCTTGTTTCCACCACCTCGGCCGAGATAGACCCGAAGAACCGAAACAAGAGAAGTGAGCGCAAAAAAGACTACAAGGAGTGCCCATACAAGATTTAAGTTGATGGTGCTGGGAGCAAAGAAACTTTGCATTGAGTGAAAAAATGAGGAATTGGAGCTATTGCTAGATAGAGACGCAGAAAGTATTTGCCGACAAAATGATACAAAGTCATTGACGAAGAGGACAGTCATTGCACAAACAGAAAAATCAACAAGCCAGACGAGTTCCGTATAAAAGGGCAGGACAGCAATTTCATGCGCCTGAACTTCAGCACTCTTTAGTTTGAGGGGGGTAGTGCGAGGAAAATGAAAGGTTTCTAATTCGACACGGCCGTCTCCTCCACCACTTGTTCCATTGTTTCGTTTTCCCTTTGATTTGACCTTGGTGAGTCCGGCACTTTCTAATATCTCTTTGTCAGTGGGCAAAAGTCGGCGATAGATGCCACCAAAGACAAATGCACTAGTAAATGAGAAGTGCGCAGTGATCTTTGAAAGAAGACTGACGCCGATCAAGGTGGAGACCAATTGAAAGCCAAAAATTGCCATAACTTAGAATGGATTGTCGAAAGCGGATAAAGACCGAAAGCAGTTTGTCACGGTAACAAAAACATTGACCATATATGCTAAAATACAAAAACAATCACAGAGCTACGTGGAGCTACCATAGCATGATACACAAATAACAAAACAGTAAACGCATAGATCAATGTAATTAGAGGCACCGAAGAAGCACAAACCTCAAAACTTTTCACGCTAGCAGGGCCATAAGTATACTGCATGTTAATGCCTAGATTATTTTTAAAGATATAACTTACGGAAAGACATAAATGGTATCCAGCTACACAGAACAAAGCTTAATTTATTCACTCAACTTTACTCACAGTAACGTATGCATCAGGATAAGTTACCTAAATAATGTAGAAAATGTTTATTTAACGCAAATAAGCCCCTTTTATACTTTTGCAAAATATTACAATTTGATAATAGTGACCAATATGAATTCATGATGGCGGATCAATTATTCGGGAGGGGTTTATGTCGTACGTAAAATATGTACCAATTTTATTAATTCAATAATTTATCTTTGGCCATAAGCAATTCGGAAACATGTATTTACATTGCTTACTATATGTAGAGCTGACTACGCCTACATAAATAACAGAACTGGCAGCATAACACAATATGGGACAAATAGGCATTGACAAGAAATTGAGTAAGCCCAGAGGGGAAATTTTAAATGCATAGCACAATGTAGTCAAAAGCGTTGGGATCAAAATTTCATTAAACACACTGAATGATGTCTAAAGAAAGTCAAGGTCCAGCAACGAAATCCAAGGATATTTAAATCTCAAGATAAATGTAAAGACCCAAATGGATTTTTGTTTTGCGCAAGATTGATAAGATTACTATATCTGTTGAAAAGATATAACAAAAAATGTGCAAAAAACACCATACTCGGGACACCACGGCGGTCGCAATTGTATTGCTGCATTTGGGCGCAGACATATTCCACAATGCAAGGTTGACTTTGTGCGTTTCATTGGCTACATTTGTGGCGTCGGATCAAGGCGCAGACATGTTGGACCACCTGGCCTCAGCCAATCCCGTGTCTCTCTGCGATCCAATGGCATGCGGGAAAGGAGGGCAGCCAACCAGAGAAGGACACGACTGAGGAGCAGTATATTATGAGCGGCTTGGCCAGCGTGGCGGACTCGGATGGAAGGCGCCTGACGCGTGGCTCTGGCTTCTGATTGGTCAATAAAGCCTGTTCTGTTGTACTGGTCTTTTACCTATTAGGGCTCGGGTATTCTACACATTTTAGACAGGAAGCAAACCACTGACAAGGTTGTTAGGAAAGCACTTAAAATTGAGCGGCGCAAGCTGTATAGTAAACTCGGAAAGCCAAAGCATAATAAATGATTCTGGACTGTGTTAAATTAAAATACTTATGATTTTATGAACTTGTTGTATTTAGACAAGGGTTCAGGTAATCTACACTGCGCTGGAAACAAATGCAGCCATTTTTACTTAATCGTTGGCCAAGCCAATTCTCCAACAGTTTTAATTAATGATTTAATTACATTATGTTTTCAAACCTTAATTGGGACAAGACATATATATAATGGGTGGTATGAACTAGGAAAAAAAGAAACAGTGACCACATTGTTTTAAACAATCTTAGGACACATTTGTGAATTCAGTGTGCGCTCAGGAAATATCGGGGCATATTCTAGTCTGTATTAAGTCAGTCTCACCAAAATATTAAAATTTAGAAACAAATATGACAAAATAACAAAATTAATTGGAACGATGCATGGTCTGTCCTCTTGTGTGCTGCGACCTGTTAAGGAGGTACTTTCTGTTTACCCTCGATTAGTTGATTTTTGGCTTCGATTAAATGCATCAGGGAATTGTATTTAATAAGAAAGTGATTTTTGGCATAAAAAAAGTAATAACATTACTTAGCAGTTAGTTAATTCACAATGGCCTAGTGTGTTTCGATGAATACGATGTCTGTAGTGGACGGACAGCCACCTCGCGTGGGTGATACGTGTATGATGGCCCGGTTGTACCAATGACCCACTCCCTTTGTTGTTGACTTCTGTTAGCATTCACTTGCTATACACGCTTATTCGTACGTACACAAAATCACTTGGCTGTTGGGATACTAATAAGCGGTCGCGTTTTCTGTCTCCTCTTTCTCCCTCTTCTTGGGTTGCAACGGGATGTTAACTAGGAAGTAGTAAGGTCGTGCTATTTCAAGCCACTACATAACCGTCATTCAGTTCTGAAAATTTGGCTGCGATTTTCCGCAAAAGTGACATGGTACTGTTTTCTACAAGCTTTCATTTAATCTAGATGTGTAACTCAAAGCATACCCTTTGCGTTGGGGGATATTTGACTTGACCAACGTTCATGAATAGTTAATTTGTTTAAAAGCACATAATCTAAGCAACGAAATTAACCGGTTTTTGCTAGGAAAACCGAATGTGACCAGGTTACAGAACTCGAACTATGTAAAATGATTTTGACGCCTAAGCAATGAAATGTAATTAAAATCATATTCAAAGGGAAAAGAAATTTGGACGTTACTTTTATTTTAGTTCCTGTAATTTTGACTTGGCGTTAAATGAGCCATTTATTAACTTTAAACATAATCATTTTAAGACTTTTAAAGGAACTCATTAAGCGGAATAGTTGTAACAATTTTAAGACGACAAAGAAATAATTGCTTTGCTGAAATAATTGACAAATAAATAGCTTAACATCAATGTTTTAAAGCAGAAACAATCAATTAAACCTTGATAAACAAAAGTTGTCTGGGCTGTTGTTTTAAAGGAATAAATAAAAAACACGAAACAAAATCGTAGCTAAATAATAGCAGCAAAGATATAGTCTATTGTCATGCACTGCATAAACGGGCAAATGTCATTACTTTTGTGACTTGCCTTTGGCTGAGACGACGAAAGCACTGTGCATTATATCATGGTTTTCTCTTAACTAGGTTAAAGCCGTTAAGTGGTATGCTGAAGAGTTTTGAGTATTCATTTTCTATGTATATTTATATTTGGGACAAAATTAAGGATTCACCATGGCGTATTCTACATGGTCTCTTATGTAGGTGAATAAATATTCGTAATAAGTTTAGTCAAGAAGCATTTATAAGCAAGCCTGACTTTACCAGTCCTTTAACTCATAAATATTTAGCAATACAGACAAAAACTATGTAAATAGACTGCTCACCAGATGGCGTAGCATTTACTTCATCTAAATAGAACAAGACACGTCTCAGGATAACGTCTTGAAATATTTAAACAGCATTAGAATTTTCTAAAAGACGAAGTTATTATAGCCAAAACGGCGTCACGCACGGAACCCACACTACTACTTAGGTGATATGAACGTACAAAGTCCAGCAGCTGGTCATTTGGCATATGAACATAAATTTCAGCCCAGTAGAATGGTTTTATAATTTAGTGCGCAATTATTCCGTCATTTTAACCTGATACTCAATGAATAAAGTAATTTTGCCGAACAATCACAGTCTTATTTCAAAGGACATGGTAATTATTTATGGTTTACTTTATCCCAAAGACTGTCTCTGTACGATGGTTGAATAGTGCTCCCTACCTCGTAATTGGAATCTTTGGAAGTACCCACGTCATGTGCTAGGTGAAGGTCAACTCGTCAATTCAGACCTAGTCCTGACCACGAACAAATAAATACCGTTATTAATAGTTTGCTTTCTTTGTCTCTACAAATAAGCGTTTTGGAAATTTGTGATGTGTACCAAGTACTTATAGTTGCCCCCGGTGCGGTTTTGAGAAACCACACTAGGGCCGACGACATACACTGACACGGCTCGACCGAAAGAAGAGTAGAAAATGCAGATAGTGGGTAGCTCAAGTAATTTACTGATACAGTAGCAATGTGTGTTTTAACAGGATAACGAGTGCGTTTATATAGCTTTGCTATGCATCGATCTCTGAACGAACGGAGTTGCATGAAATGCATTCACGAAAATCGATTGAATCGTGTCCGCTCACTCCGGCACGGTGCGTTCTCTCACGACTGCTAACTGCGCCTGCCTGCTACTCGCCACATACTCAATATTAGACCCTTACAGAAATCATCCGGTGTATGAATTAGTGAACATATACTTGCACTGTCCTAAAGCGGACACGGTCTCCCGGAATCCCATTTTCCCCTGCGAAATTTGCGTTTCATGGGTACTACTTTAGGCAGTCTGACTATACACCAGACCCGCAACGCAAATCCAATCGATTCAGCTTTCTTTATCGTGTACAGCGATGCTTCAAACAAACTTGTCAGATCATGGTCATTCATGATTAGCGTTCACTAGTGGAGGTCAGGAAAAGAGATATAAGATGTTAATAGGACGCAAAGAAGGCAATGATCTCGTTACAAAGGACATCTTGTAGCCGAGCTTCATTGACGTAGATGTTGTACCACTGCTCCAGAACCAGCTGACATTTCACCTTGATTAAAACGCCCCTGAGGTTACATGAGATCACATGCCAGTCAGAAATAACGAAAACGTGTACCATGTAAAATAAGCTCCAAGTAAATTGTGCGATCACGTTTAAACGCACATTTTGCGGGAATCCCTGCTAGGCAGCCCAAATTAAAATTCTCACAACTACCCTACTTTGGCTTTTACACAAATCCCTGAAACGTTTTTCCCACAACTCTTCATTTCGCACAACTATGGGGTACTGTTGTGGTGGTTTGACCACCATGTCTTCGTTTGATGATGCGTCTATGATGCAGCGTTGTTGGCTTCAAAGTCTAACGAGAATTCTCAACTCGAGACAATCACGAAGCATGCTTTATTGACATGCGACTTGCATAGCTTGCGTAATGCATCATTTCGGGTGTTTGACTTGACCTGGCCCCTGCATTATTGGCACCAGCATTGTCAAAGTGCGTCATTTATTGGTGGATAGTAATTGTTCGTGTCTTATTTTCAAACTTAGCAGACGCACGCGCTTTCGACTGCACTCATGTCCATTTGAACTCATGTT